GGCTCAGGTACTAGCCATCGACAGAAGTTCTAGCATAAGGGTGGGACATGATAGACCATGGGCTAACAGACAAGTGGCGAGGGAGTCACCGGAACCGGTGCCTTCTACCCCTATGGTCGTATACGTTGTTTCGGAGCTGGAAACGGATACCACTTGTGAAAAACACACGTATGACGTACAGCAATGGAAATAGCTATCATTTCAGGTGGCCCTTGGTGCTTCTGGAGCAATCTCCAAATTCAGGCTACCTCACCCTGCGCATCTCACACTGATTGGCTATCCAAGGCTGCTAAGTGTCACACTCAACTCCCAGGAGTAGTTGGTCATAGCACTTTAGTGGTGGTATGAGACTAAGGGGAAAATGAGACGACAACTCCGATGCCGCGAAGGCAGACCTCGAACCATAAGGAGGCAGTAAACTGAGGCTTTAATACGTCCCCAAGCCTCAGTGACACTAGAGCGACTCAGTACTGAGAACAACAATCTGTGTCACCTAAGTGTCCTACCTGAACCCGAGGAAAAAACTACAATAGGCCGGTTCCATCGGAATCGGCCAACTGGTCCCAACATTAAGTCTCCTACCAGCGGACTGCTTCACGTCTGGTATCAAAAGTATTACTGATAATTACATCAGGGATTACCTCGATAGGTCTAGCATGCTCCATGAAGCCCAACACAGTCTCAGGAAAGGCAGATCCTGCGTTACTAACCTACTATCTGCTTGGGACGATTGGACATCACGTTGGGATATGAATGTTTCAGTTCATGTGGCCTTCTCAGACTTTGAGAAGGCATTTCACACTGTTCATCATGACCTTCTCCCACATAAAATAAGTCAGGCAGGCATTGGTAAGCCACTTCTGTTATGGTTAAGGGGCTACCTAGCTGACAGGCAATTTTGCACTAAGGTCAATCGAACCCGATCATCTTCGCACGGCTCGTCATCAGGAGTGTCGCAGGGTTCTATCCTAGGACCACTGATGTTTTTGATTTTTATCAATGATCTACCACGCTGTCTAAGATGCCCGACTCTTCTGTACGCTGGCGACGTAAAGATATGGAGGGCGACAAAGTGTCCGGACGACTCAGATAGACTGCAGGCAGATCTAAAGATTCTGGAAGACTGGGCAATGGCCAGTGGCATGACTTTCAACCTGAAAAAGTACAAAGTAGTGAAATTACGCACCTGTAGACTGCAGAATGCAAGTTACACCGTGTACAATGAAAGCTTGTCGGAGTGTGACTTAGGTCTAGTTCTAACGGAAAAAATGGACACAAGCGTAAATTATGCGGGGGATGTAGCGAGAGTATATGCGGTCATACACTTTGCTCATAGACAGTTAGGTGCACTCACTCCTGAGCTGTTTACAAGGTTGTACAAAACTTACGTTAGACCACACCCTGAAATGTATAATATTATTGCACCCCCAATGCTTAGAAGAGACGCCAACCTGTTGGAAAGAGTCCGAAGGCCGGCAACAATCGGAGTGGTTGAAAGGCTAAAGAAATTGGATTTCTACACAATTAGCTACCGTTGGGGGTATTTAATTATTGTCTGTGCGTCGGTGGCACAGTGGTTAGGACTCTCGCCGACCATGCACATGGTCCGGGGTTCGAGCCCACGCCGACGCACACCTGATATCTATGGTCGGCCTGCGAATTTTGGGCTACCGATATCCAAGCTGAAAATTCCACACTTGTACCAAAAATACGGTGTGGAATCAAGCTGTAATCAAAAATAAAAAAAAATATATAAAACAAATGACCAGAATCGCCCAAACAAATGTCTTCTGCCAATGGGTAGGTATAGACCTCCTCGTGGAAATCCCAGAAGGATAGCTCATCAGAAGTCAAGGACTCGGGTGCGCTGCCACTTCTTTTCACTGAGGGTTCGCCGTTCCTTGGAATTCCTTCCTGGCAGATGTAGCTATGGCACCGTCTTTGGGCGCCTTTAAGGGAAGGCTGGACAACTGTGCAGCGACACAAGGACTGCATCCAAATGGCCTATCCCCTTAAAATCGGAAACACCATTCAGGGGTAGACAATTAAACTTGTCGTTTTACTTCTTTACATTCTCTACCGTCTTACTCTCCTGACAACTTTAACTGCACTTATTAGTGTTACCGATATACGTCAACTTCAAATTTAATCAGCTGACTGTTGTCACGTCTTCTTATTTCGTTTTGTGTCTGTTAGTCTGAAAAACTTCACTAATTATATCTATTATTATTACTATATCTTTTCTCTTGTCAACGATACCAGAGGACTAAATGGCGAAAGGATCAACTCCATTCACAGTAGTAACAGTCCTAACACACCTCACACTACAAACCACATAAAATTGATCCCAGCGCTAGTCCCTTTGGAGTCAACCAAAGCTACGACAGTCCAGTGGCGGGACGGGCTACGCAGAAGTTTACCGAAGATCAGGAACCTATACCTCACTATCAAGAGGTGAGAACAAAAAAATTAAACTGGTTTATACTAGTTCGTAAAAACGATATTGGATATTGGACTGTAATGCGTTCCAGTTCATTTCTGCACGCTACGGTGAAGGTAATAGGCTGAATTCTGACTACCGGTAACTCGTTCCATCATTTTTTGATGCATAGGGGAGGTTTGCGAAACTTTTTTAAATGTATTTCTGATAAATGATGCAGAAGTTACTAAAAGTCAGACTTTTATAGCAAATGTGTTACGTGGTTGCCCCGGTGTATGTCCTTTCTCAAGGTCACTCGTAGGTACACTCTTCCCAATATTTTCAGGAGTCATACATTAAACCACTGATAAACTTTTGACTTAGACGGAATTTTTTATGCACTCAATTAGGACTGATCCAAATCAAGCATAATGTTGTTTAGGTATATATAAGATAAGCGGAATTACCAACTACTTTTATGTTTTACTTTCCTTTGGAATGTACTTCTCTTAAGTAAATGAAAGACAAAAAGTTAGGTTTATGCTAAATGGTATCTTTTTCGCTGCTGATATGACTGGCTTAAGATTTCCATACTTCCCTGTACTCACGAAAGTTTAGAATAATTCAAAACTAATTCTATCCTATGCATCGATAATGTCTTACTATGGTCAATAAAAATGTTTTCTCCCTAAAATGGGCCCACTATGTTGGTCGTTTTTAAAGAGAACCCTATAAATAGGATTTGCAGCTGAAATACTGCCTTTAGTGCTGAAATAAAGCTGGAAAAGGTCATCAGTTCATATAACTGTAAACACTGTGCGATTTATCAGAATAAAATCTTATCTATAATGGAATTATACTCTATCACAGTGCCCAAGTTTTATACTTATATCAATAATACTGGAAAAGGTACCACTATGTGCTGCTTTAGTCGTTTTGTTCTGATGTAATGCCAGTCAGTGCTCACTCTGGGCTGAGAGGGCTGAAACAACGCTAACTGGCAAACTCAGCGGGTTCTAGGCTACTCCTGAAAATGCCTAGAAAAAGCACAGTGCTAGATTTGTCCCAGTCATGCTGAAAACCAACACTGAGTTTTAGTCTGTGAGCACAATAAAACCACTTCAGATCAATTTCAGTGTTTACACACTATAGAATGTTAGTTCAGAATAAGCGAGATTTAAGTCAGTATTATAAGCCTGGGGTAGTACTAACATAAAAATCGAAATAACTAAATAGTGGTCTGAGTTCCCAAACCTCATCTGCAAATCAATTCACTTCAAAGTTGCAGTGGTTTAAGGTGAAAAAAGAGATGTGGTATTGTAATCTATAAGATAATCAAGTCGTCTGCGGCACTGCTTTCGATCACCAACCACGTCTGTATAGTTATCCTACCTCTAATGGCTGTTTTTCGAGGCTGCATAGTATGTTGAATACTATTGCTTATTATTGTGCAATGAAGTCTTTGGCATGCGTCAGAAGTGGCACGTTTCGATGATGTTCAAATGGATTTCCTGCCAGTCACTGACTCACATGGCTTGTTAGGTTGGTGAAATAGTTAATGCTTCTGCAGTCACTTAGTGTTTTCATCCTAACGAGATATTTTTTTTATTCATTTACGTTCCGAGTGGGACGTAAGGTTTCAAACTAGAGGCTTGAAGTTTCAGTAGTAGTGCTGTTTATTTTTACAGGATGGGTTTGCTAGCCTCATGCCCTTCCCTGCTTACCAGTCTTATTACCGGCTTAGCGAGTTAAAGAAGTGCGTCGGCCGGGGATCGAACCCCGGACCACATGCATGGAAGGCGAGCATTCTACCTCTTTGCCACCGACTCAACACAAGCTAGAAAGTAGTAATTTACATTTGGATGTGAAATCCAAATACTATGATATGGCTGAAGTCACGTGGGAATAGAAGCTTTCATTAGCGCATATGTTACAGACGTGAAGACTGGACATCTGTGACGAATGCAACTCGACTTGGACACTTCGTAGGCTTTATAAAACTTCCGGTAGACGTATTCAAAAATCTTTATACTAAATAAGGTTAATGGGTAGGTATGTTTTGGGGTCCAACATTGGTGTGAATACATAATGGAAACCGGGAGCCTGTTTTGCTGTTAAGGTTAGCAGTGATTTGACTATAGGCCTCAGTACTCTAGAAGCTTTGTTCGCTTAATATTTGTTCGGATTGCAGCATATTATTTCCTTAAAGATGGGGATTACCAATGGGAAGAGTCGTCTCTGATTTTTACAGATCAGATAAAATCTCAGGTATTAAAACTAGTTTTTTTTACCTGAAAACAATCTGTCATGCCCTCTGTACAATTTTATGGTCAATATATGGTTGATGACTTAGGTTCTGGTTTCTGAATAGCAAAGGTGGACTGCCATTTATAGTAGTATGGAATGCGTTGTGTTATCTGCCCAGCTTTTTCACACTGCTATATATATGGAAATATTAAATAAATAATCCTTGTATCTTTCCTATTTTAGGTATATTGTACTTGGAGCTTTTAACGGAATAGTGAGAAGTTAATTTTAAAAATTTATTTTTCTCTACACTTAACAACTGTCCATAAAATACATGTCTGTGATCACGTGGGATCATGTTGATAATCCACAAACTTCACTAACAGAGAAACAACTAGAATCAGTATTCCTGCTGAACTCATTAAATTCAACCCATGGAGAAGTAACATAACCTCATGAATTCATTTACATTTAAATTGTATTAGGCATCTAGTGATCAGTCTGACAAGTGTCAAGATGGAAATAATACACCAGAGCATTTGTGTGTGCATTTAGCCTCTCATTTTTATTCTTGGTTATCGTCTGTTGAACAGAATTTAAGTACTGAAACATCTGAAGTACCGAGGTAAAAACAGCTAAATTTTTTTTGATTCATCAATAATGAAAAGTGAATTTCTAAGCTTCATTTCGGGTAGAAAAGCTGAATGTCTGAAAGTTTTAAAAATTGTTGAAGAAATACTCTCAAAACTATCTGTTTTGGAAAACAATTACTTGAGTATTTCACAAACTACTAATGAGCTACATGAATTATGTGAGCATCTACTAAGACAACAGGTGAGTTTTCATATTGTTGCACTTCATACATTCATTCTTTTTCTCTCAAGTAGAATGAAATGGTTGAATATGCCGGTTCAATTGAAGAATGTTTGGTCAATTTTGTTCAGGTGGATATGATTAGGACTGTGGGTTAATAGTTAGTTGTACGCTAACCTACCTCTTGCCATTAGGAACTTGGAGTAACTAATTTCGTAGTTTCTCGGGAGAAGTTGTTACCAATTTTAAACAAGCTGGATTCAAGTTTAATATATTTTCGGGATCACGTATGTGACATATTGTTTTCTTAATTTAAACAAAAAAATATACATTTAGCCACATTTTAAAGAATCTCCAAACTATTTAGCTAAAGTGAAATCTGCACTGAAATTAGCTCTTGGACTTATTAAAATCAATGTAACAAATACCATCGAAAGAACAATAAATGAGCTTCTGGATTTACACGTAAGATTGTCTTATATAAATCGTTTATAAATACATCTATATGTTTATAGGATGTTATCAGTCCTGAAAATTCATTTATTCTACTGTATGGAAGATTCCGTTCACATGGACCAAAAATACGGTCTTTAATGACGTTACTCGAAGAAAGAGTTCATGTAACTGATGAGTAAGTTTAATCAGTGTTGATTATATATATTCATATAGTTATTACTATTATTACTTTACTTTTACTTTACTTCGGCTATCTCCTACGGGAGGATGAGCCGGCTTCATGAACCATGAAGTTTCATGGGAATTGGGTACGAGTGATGTCCCCAGCATCGCTCGGCCTTTGTTTGAGAGTGCAGCTCTAGCCTTTACACAACCAAGTGTGACCTACAAGGTAGTAGGAGTGGAGTAGGGAGTCCACTATCCATTGTCAGCCGGTGACCGGAGTCCGGTTCATTCACCTTTTTGAATGGGGCCAGTCATCCAGGGCATCCAATAAGCCCTTTGTCCATACGTCTGCCGGTGAGCTCCGGTGAGCTTCATACGCCAGTCGTTGAAGGTTTGGAATCAGGGTTTAGCCATCTCCCCTAGACTGTCATCCAATGGACAGTCAACCCGGTGAAGAGCGCCGGGCATCCGCTTTTGCCCTCTCACTTTGGTGAAAAACACCTCCGCCACGTGAAGGCAGTGAGTAGGACTTCCTCAGGAGAGGCTATGTAAGACGCCCGGTCATATGGGAGCATTTCAAGAGGTGTACGGAGGGGTGGCCAACCCGTAGCGCAAGACACCCACCCCCGACCATCCTGAGGCTTTGGAGGCATTATTATTGCCTTAATGTGATAATTACACTATGGAGAATCGTCTTAAAATCACTCCAGATTGTAACAAAAAGCTGACTGACAAATCAACGTAGACCTTGACACTGAAGTTATC